TACTCCTCCTGCTCCTGCTCCTTCTCCTTCTCCTCCTTGTGCTTCTCTTTCTCCTCCTCTTTTTCCTCCTCCTCCTTCTCCTTTTTCTCCTCCTCCTTCCTCCTTCCTTCTTCTTTCTTCTTATTTTGTCTTCTTGAGATAGTGTCTCACTATATACCCCAGAGTGTTCTTCAGCTCACAGTGTAGCCCAGGCTGAGCTCAAGTTCACAGCAGTCCTTCTGTCTCAGCCTCTGGAGTGCTAGGATTATGGCTATGTGCCACCCTTTCCATCCAGTCAGCCATTTTGGAGTGTAGATCTGCTGCTAGAAAATTGCCTTAGATTTCCTTTGTCTGCAAGAGTCTTGGATAAGTTAGTCTATTTTATCTTGTTCTGGAGCATGGATATCATTACATGTACCACTCCCTAAGTACAGGGTCTCCCTAAGCAGATTGGACTCCTAGTGATCCTCCTGTCTCAGCCTCCAGAGCTGAGATAACAGGCATGCACCACCACGCCCAGTTTCAGTGGTGGGCTCGGCACCCAGACCCAGCACAGTATGCAATACCTAGGATCAAATCCTGGCCCTTGTGCCTGCCAGGCAGGCACTTAGACCATTGAGCTATCTCCACATCCCCAGCATAGACATCTTTTTGAACCCTGATTTTGCTATACAGGTTATAAAGGTTTGTATTGTCAGCTTTTAATCTTTGGCAGGTAAAAATGTTGACATGACTTTATATACCTTACTGATAATAAAATTTTGGAGGAGGCCAAAAAGTGGTCCTTTAAGTATGTCACTAAATTCTCTCACAATGTTTTTATTTATATATGTTTAGAGTACATGATGCTCACAGTAATCTTAGGGAGTGGTACATGTAATGAACACACAATGGTTCTTTTTATTCCCTTCCCTTCCCCATCTACCTGCCTCCATTTCTAGATCCCCTGTCCCTATTTTCATCATCATCATCTTAAATTCATCTGTATAACACATAAAGATCACCTTCATTGAGGATAGTTACTACATGTCCATGATGCATCTTAAATCTTTTTGTGTCCCCTTTCCTACCTTATCCCCTCTACCCTCAGATGCTTGGTCCCCTTTCCATTATGTAAGGTGTTTTCTTTTATCCTTTTTTTGCTCTGTATTTCTACTTTTGATTAATCAAGAAGAGAAACCATATGGTACTTAATTAAGCTTGTGTCTGATTTATTTCATTTATCATGTTTTCAAGGTGTATTCATTTTCCTGTAAATGTCTCAAATTTATCCTTATTTGTAGCCATATTACAATAGGTAGAGATACCCCATTTTCTTCATTCATTCTCACTTGATGGGCATATAGGCTACTTCCAGGACTTAATTATTAAGAATTATGCTTCTATAAACAGTGTTACACTTGTATTTCTGTAATACATCTCTAGCTTTTTTTAGAAGATAACTAGAAGAAGAATCTCTGGGTCAAGTGGCATTTCTGTTTCCAAATATTTGAAAAATGTCCATACTGATTTCCATTATAGTTATACTGGATTGCTTCTTTCTAACAATGTGGAAGTGTTCCTTTTTCACTGAATTCATGCCAGTATTATTATTTGATTTCTTGATGATTGCCATTCTTTCTGGCATAACAAAAATCTTATTGTTTGCATTTCTTTAATGGCTGGAGATACTGAACATGTTTTCTTATGTTTATTGGCTATTGTATTTCTTCTTTTGTGAAATGTCTATTCATCTCACTTGCCCATTTTCATGGGGTCTTTTATATTTGTTTATATAGATCCAGCATTGCAACCCTGAGATGAACCCTACTTGGTAATGATGTATAATCCTTTGATGATTTCTGCATTCAATGTGCCAATATCTTATTAAAATTTTTTTTTTTTTTTTTTTTTTTTTTTTTTTTTTTTTTGCATTTATGATCATTAAGGAGATTGGCCTGTAATTTTCTTTTTCGGCTGGGGCTTTGTCTGGTTTTGGCATCAGCATCAGAGTGATGCTGGCTTACAGAAAGAGTTTGGAAGCACTCCTTCCTTTTCAACTTCATTGAAAATTTTGAAGATTATTGTTGTTGTAATACAATTATTCATAGTAGTTACTAAACATATTCTTGTGATTTCAAACTTTTTAATTAGAAGTTAACATTAGTCCTCACATGAGTTAACATAGAGTCTTTTCTCTCTTTTGGAGTGTTCTAATAATGGTTTGAAAAATTTTGTTTATTCTTTTGTGTCCTACAATATTTGTTATTCTTTTTTTTTTTATTGACCATCTCAACTTTTGGCCAAGATGTGTCATAAGCAGTTTTTATTTTCATTTTGGCTTGGTGTTCTGTAAGTCTTGCTTATCTGTATGAAACCATTCTCTTTGGAACATTTTCTATTATAATTTCTCTGAAAAGATTTTGTTTTTATTCATCATATGTTGTCTTCTAGTTTTTCCAGTTAGCCTTAACATACTAACTGTTAAATGATTTTTACTTATTCTCCTATTGTTTTTAAAGCTTCATTGAGTAATTCATTATAATTTACCATTTTGTTCTTGCTTTCCAAAACCTGTGTTCACATTGGTCATTTCTGGAGTTTATGTATTGTTTTTAGCTTCTGGTATTTCTCTCTGATATATTTTTGTGGTCTATGTCTTTGTTAAAGTGTCATTCTTTTCTTGAACCAGCATCCAGTCGTTCATTGCTTATATGTAGTAAACCTTGCATTTATATTTTCACTTTTTCTCAAAACTCTTTGCAGCCTATATTCTTTTAGCCTGTAATTTGGAAGGGGAAGTGAAGAGGAGAGATGAATGAGAGGAGTGTAAGTCAGTAGGAGGACAGGTAGACAGGAGAAATAGTAATAGGTAAAAATAAATTAGAGGGAAAATTAAATTCTGATGGAGATATTTTAGTAGGATTAAAGGGTTGGTGTTGAGGATTTTAAGACATTTGTAGGGGGAAGGATGAAATGTAGGAAGAAGGAGATTTATTTTGGTACTGAAGAAAGCTATAAGGTTCGAACCTGGTGATATATTTGTGCACCTGAAAGGTGGAGAAGAGGCAGGGAGGGCAAATCCTAGGTGAAATAAGGAACAGCAAAAGAATGTACTAATAGAGAGGACAATGATTAATATGAGAGAAGAAAGCAGGAGTAACTGGGAGAAAGCAGAATATAGCAAAGGAAAATCTTGAAAAATTAAAAAGTGAGAGAAACAAGTAAAAAAATAGTATTTTTGCAGAAGCTTGAATTGAAAAAAATGAAATACCTGGAAAAAGAAAGAGAATATGAGCAACTACATCAAAGCAAAGAAAAAGCCATCAGGAACCTAAAACAAGTGCTCTAACAAGAGAGTGTGCATGTGATTCTCACATGACCACTTGCTAGAAAGCCTAAGTCTTCAGGCAGTTCCCTTCTTGCCTTAGCTGTAGTCTGATTGCGCAGAGCAACATCAGCTTCTCCACTTTTTCCTTGCACTCAAAAACCTGAACTGACTCAATCTCAAGAATTCCTCTCAGGCCAGCAAGCAGAATCTGATGCTGTCCTTAGATTTGGCTCAGAGTCTTCCCTAAAGCCCTCATGGGGAATTCAGTGGGCAGATGCATGTTCTTGTGGGGTCCACAGGAGTGACTAGGAGGGGTGTGCTTCCATAGGAGTCCCAGGACCCTGTTCTATTATTTATCTACTCTGTGACAGGGATGGAGGAGTGAATGTGGGTGAGGATACTGCTGGGCTGTTTGGAGGGGAAATAAGGAGACAAAGAGGCTATTGTGTGCAGTCTCCCTAGTCTAGGGTCTCTGTAGCACTTGTTTATTTCCTCAGGTTGTTTCTAGTGCTCTTTTAATGGCTGCTCTCTGAAGAGCCTGAACCAGAGCCTGATCCATACAGACCAGGGTAATAACATCACTTCTCCAGATATTTTATTTGATCCACATGTGTCATTTTTACAGTTAATATTTTGTTTCAGGGTGTCAATCTCTCCTCCACTACAGGGTACCTGTGACTTCAGTGAATCCTTTGAGTGTTTCAGACACAATACTTTTTCTAGTCAGCTATGAGGGATCTCCTCTTTTATTTTTTTTATTTTCTGATTTTATAGACTTTATTCTACTCTGTCAGATACATATAACTTTTTGAAATTACACATTTCTTCATATGCTTTCCAATCTGAATCTGTAAAATTGTGTATCATTTATTTCTAGGAATTTTGCTTGTAGCTTTCCATATGTTCTCTCTCCATTTTTGCCATGATTGGCTCTTCAGTGTACCAATGCTTCCTTCATATGGGTCTTTCTAAGCTTTACTTTTGGATTAATCCTTTCAGCAATATTTATTTTGCTACACTGGATTCTTTAACCCAACTGACCTTCCTCCTTGTCTGTCAAAATTCACTTCATTCTATTTCTTGTTCTGATCTGTGGCTCTGATTGATGCTGACAGAGTACATGAAGCCAGGTACACAGGTCCCATTAAAACCTACAGCAAAATATTAATGTTGATTTTATAAATTATCCTCCTAAAATGAAACATCTATCATTTGAAATTACACATGTTTTAGCTAATTTTTCATAGCTGGAGTGCATCATAGCTGACCCCACAGCATAAGAAGGAAAGTTTTATTTTTGCTCACAGTGTCAGCACACCATCCATGCATGCTAGGCCAGCCTCAAGGGAGAAACAGCACAGCAGTAGTCACTGTGGAGGAAAGCTGCTTGCATCACAGTAACCAGGAAGGAGAGACTGAGAAGAGACTAGCCTGGGAGGGAGATCTGCCCTTCCAGGTCATGCCTGCAGGAACTGCTTTTGACCAGGTCCCACCTGCTAGGAAAAGCCACTGAGCTCAGTAGTAGATGGGTCCCCTGGCGCTCCATGATGCAGTTACTTCCAAATCTTCCACCTCTGAACTTGTGAGACTTTGAGGACACATTCTAGTTCAGAACCACATCAACCCTAATCTTGGTTAATTGAAGAGTCTAAATTTGCAAATATACCAACTCACTAATACTAAAATTTGAATATTTAGTTTAAAATAGTTTAGTTTAAATAGACTGTTTAAAATAGTCCCCAAATATTGTGCTATAGCAGTATGAAAGGGCTGTGATGTGCCTTTGCTTAAATACATACATTAGGCAAACTTTGAGTTACAGACCATTGACTAAGTTCAGCGTTAACAGACCAACCACATATACTAAATGATGTATCTTTGTACAAATTTTATTTTGAAGAAAGAAAAAGCAAAACAAAATTTCAAAACAAGATAACAAGAGAGTAACAATCACTAATATTTTTCATATTACTATCTTTAAATTAGTTACTCAGAGTATAAGATCTATGCATTTAATTGACCAAACAATATTAGCACAAACTTTCCTTTTCAATGAGGTATCTGTAAAGAGAAACACAGGTACAGCATGATTATATATTGATCAGTTGACAAAAATGTGACTAAGCAAGGCCTGTGTGCTTGTACTGTTTTGTAGTATTTACCACATATCAGGGTATCAGTAAATTCTTATCAAATAATTGATTTAAAAATTACAAACGCATTGCTAGGCATGCACACTAATAAGCCTAGCAATCTGGGAGGTTGAGGCAGGAGAATAATAAACCTAAGCCTAGCCTGGGAAATTTATTATATTTATCCAGCCAAACCCTATCTCAAAATTAAAAAAAGAAAAAAATGAAAAGAAAAGAAAAGAAAAGAAAAGAAAATGAAAGGAAAGAACTGGGGACCCTTTCTCAAAATAAAAAATAAAAGGGCTAGGGATATATCTCTATGTGTAAATCCTGGGTTCAATACTCAGTACTGTAACAAATAAATAAATAAATTTAAATTTAGCAATTATTATTTGCAGCTATTATTAATGTTCTTAGGTTTAAAAGGATGAAGGAATTTACCAGAAGTTAGTATAATGCCAGGAATTCTGGATAGATTGCTCTAGATTCCAGTTCAATTTCTACTACTGCTGTGCTCATAATCTCAGGCAAATAACTTAATTTCTCTATATTTTAGTTTCCTTATTGATAAGCTGGAGAAAATAGAACAGAACTCTGTGCTTTTATGCAAGAATTATAACAACTAATGGTTTAATATATGAATTAATTAATAGCTTCATAGAGAGCCAAACACATGCTATGGGGTTAATACCTAAAGGCCCAGAATCTGCCAGGTACTGGAATAATCAGCCAGTACCTTCTGCTTATGGCCTATACACAGACAGACTTCAAAGTTTCACAAGACAGAAACAATTGGTATTTGTAGTTTTCTATATGCATTTCTTAAATATTACTTTGTGTTAGACATAGCACTTTACATTCATAGTTTTATTTCATCTTCATCATAATTATTAAAAATACTAAGAACATTTATAAATAAGTTAAATGTCTTAGCAACTTGGAAAGCCCAAATTGGAGGATGAAACTCAGGTGTCTGACCAAGATCCATATAGCTTACCAGTAACAGAGTCTACCCTTTTAGGAGAGTGTTATGCCACATGAATAGATGGCAGCTATACAGGGAGTTATGTTGTCAGATGTATTGATAAATTAAGAGTACTACTCTGTTTGTTTGTTTCTGTATTTAGGACAGGGTCTCATTACATAGATTGAACTCTAATGATTTTCCTGTTTTCAGCCTCTCAAGCGCTATGATTGCAGGTGCGCACCACCATGCACAGTCTCAATGGTCAGCTCAGTAGGCCATCAGAGCACTCCAGGGATCGAACCCTGGCTGCTGCGCTGTGCCTAAGCAGGTGCTGTAGTCCACTGAGTTATCATGCTCCCCCATTCTTGTCTGTTACTGTCTTCCCTACTGGGACAAAATACCTAGCACTCGCAAGTTAAAGGAGCATTGATTTACTGTGGTTCGCAGTGTATAGAGGTTTCTGTCTCTAATCTCAGCTGGCTCCTAAGCATGGGAGCATGACATAAGAGAAACAGAAAGATTATGGAATCACTTCTGGGTCTGAACACACTGGAGTTCATCACAAGTTCATCACTTTGATTATAATTTTAATTTAGAAAAACAAATTCTTCTGTAGTAAAATGAATTATGAATTACTGATTTCTTTCTTTTCCTTTAGGGTGACTCTGGAGGACCATTGGTTGGTGCAGATGCTAGAGACATCTGGTACCTTGCTGGAATAGTGAGCTGGGGAGATGAATGTGGGAAAGCCTACAAGCCTGGTGTTTATACGAGAGTGACTGCCCTCCGAGACTGGATCACTTCCCAAACGGGTATCTAGGGAAAACTGGTGCAATGAAACTTCTCTCTTTGTGTGTGACAGTTCATTCTTAGAGATGCAGGATTGCAGAAGAAGCCTTAGAGATCACAAGGATCTGGCCCATCTCACTAAACCAACTGCTGGATGGATACTTTTCCGTGCGAGCTCTTCTGCCCACATGAACATCTTGTATCTGCCAGATGAACTCTGCCCAACCTGTCTTCATGTTTTCTGGGCATTTTCTGTCATCAAAATCTTGGCTTGTTGACATAAATTATTCATGCAAATGTATAATTTGAAGCAATGCTTTTCTTCATTTTCTCAGTTTCCTCTCATCTTAATAAACTTTTAACTTAAAGGTTTGGTACAAGAAATGAAAGAAATTACTAAAAGCATTTTTAATGTATGGAAAAATATTAGAACTTTTTCTTTTGTGGCACATGAAAAATTCTCATATTCATGATGAAAGGTCAAAAGCAAACAGAAGCAGCAACTACTGACACCTCATAATGGAAAAAAAAATGGAAACTAACATAAGAAAATATAGAGAGAAACCACTTTATAGCTTTGAAAATTTCTAGTCAAGTGGCTACCAAGATCAAAATGAAGTCAAAACTGTTGTTTTTGTTATGACTTTAATAATTGCAAACTTTATACAATGTATTTGTTTCAAATAAGTTAAGACCAATAGTATCTATTTAATAGGAGTTTCCTGAAGATGTTGATGTATAACAATGAAATGATTTAGTCATCTATTTGCTTGACATTATAATATAATCTATGAAGATGTAGAGGATATGGAAAATGTTACTAGTCAATAGACTGAAATCTTAAAATTTGAGACTAAAATGAACATTTATTAAAGAACAATTACCATACCTCATGTGATAAAAGTATTTGTTTGATGGAAGAAGAGAGACTGAGGGCAACATCAGCCCAAAGTGTTGACTGGAGTTGGGTTGACCAAGTGGTATCACCAAATGCTTGTGCCTCTCAAACTGTCTTATGCTGAAGAAGTATAAAAGGCAGAAGACCCAGGAGTTAGTTCACTGCTGTGGTCAGGGAGTTCCAGCTGGACTCAGTCCTCATTTTGAGAGATAGCAGATGTGCTTCCTGTTTGCCAGTGGCCAGTGGTCCTGTGAGACTCATTTGGCTTGAGAAGGGAGAATAGCACCAGGCAGACATCCTGGCAGCCACCTCCATGCTGCTTCTAGTACAACACTTACTGCTGACTTCTTGGATACAGACGGAAGAGGAAAATTTGGGCATGGGTTGACTTTGCCATTTTATCTTTGAAGGATTATTCTGAGCTCTTAGACACAATAGTCAAGTGAGCTGGACTAAAATGAAGTTAGGACTGGTGCCATGACAAATGACATGTTAATGGCAAGATGCAGCAGTCTTTCAGTTGCCCTTTACAGAACATACAAATGACCAGAAAACATTGGCATATGCAATGATTAAATTTAAACATACGTCTAAAATAAGATTTGAGGACTGGGGAGGTAGCTCAGTGGTCAAAGCACCTGTCTAGGAAGCTTAAGGACCCAGGTTCGATCCCAGGTGCCACATGCTGTGCTAGCCACCGAAACAGGATATGGTAGTGCATGCCTGTAATACCAGAGCTGGGGAGGCTGACGTAGGAAGAATCACTGTGAGTCCAAGCTGTGTAGTGAGACCCTGTACCATATACATTAAAAAAAAAGAAAAAAAGAAAGAAAGAAAAAAGAATATCAGGTTGGCCAAATAGCTGAGCAGATTAAAGCACCTGCAAGCAGGTGCAAGGGTTGGGGGTTCGATCCCTAGGTCTACCATGCTGGCCCCGCCCCCAGCGTGTGCTGAGACAGCAATTGAGACTAGGCGTGGTAGTGCATGCCTGTAATACCAGCTCTTGGGAGGCTGTAAACAGGCAGATCACTCTGAGTCTGATCTAGTAGTGAGACCCTGAACACCCTGTAGGCCCTTCCCTAAAATAAAAAAAAAATCTTCAAGTAATAACAAAAAACTATAGTAGAAATTCTGAATAGGATCTTATAAAACCAAACAATACTATTTGAGAAACTCTCATACATACTTGAAAAAATTTAACTTAAAGAGTAATTCTTGAAGTTTTATTTTAAAATACAAGTGTTATTTTCCATAATCCCAAGCCTTCAGCATGTTTATAGTGATTCCCTGCCATTGTATTACACATGTATATTCCAGTCACTTCCCTAGCTTCTAGATGACCACTTGCACTTTTCCATCTCCTCAACCTCTCCATCACCTCTGCATCTTCAAATTCCATGAATTATTTTGGTTCTTACTGTCACTAAAATTTAAAGGAGACTGAAGACATCTTATCCGGACCACCTCACCCTCCTCTGCTCACCTGCTTGCAGCTGTACCTGCTCACACTACCTCCCTACCTGTTTCCAAGGATGCCATGGCTCAATGGAGCTTTAAAAGCAGTATTTTTCTTTTAGACACAAGTGGCTCTAAACTTTATCACCCTAGGACATAAGCAATCACTCCTATTTCTCTTCAGCATAGACAAATGGAGAGAATACATAGATGTTGGCACAAGAAGGTAGGCGTTCAGTTTGACCTGAAGGGATGGAGAAGACAAGGCTGTGGAAGGGAAAATCAAGCTGTAATATGTCCATTGTCTTGGTACATCCACACTCCCATTTCTGTTCCAGCTGTAGAAGACCCTGACACACCATACATAATGATAGGGTGACTTGAGTGATAAGGCTCCTCCGTCTCCTTAAGGTTATCTTTGAACAGATTCCTTTTCTTCCATTGTTTTAATCAAAACAAGTGACCTTTGATTTGGTCATCAGTGGGCAAACAAACCTGAGCATGTGGCCTCAGTGGCCTGTGGTCAAAGCCCCACCCTCCACTACAGGCTACCCCTGCTCATTGACCTTCCCTTCTTTTTCTCTTTCTTTTTCTTTTCTTCTTCTTCTCTTTTTTTTTTTTTTTTTTTTTTAGTAAGGGTCTACAGGGCCTCACTATGTAGATCAGATTTGTAGTGATCCGCCTGTGTTCAGCCTCCCAAGAGCTGGGATTATAGGCTCAGGCCACCAAGTCCAGTCTCAATTGTCTCAACCCACCCTGGGGCCAGGCCTGCAGGGAAGGCCAGGGGATTGAACCTCCAACCCCTGCATCTGCCTAAGCAGGCACTTTAATCCCCTCCTTTTTTTGTTTTTACTGTCCTGATTTTTTTTTTTTTTTTCAGAACCAGGGATTGAACTCAGGTCCTTGCCCTTGCCAGACAAGTGCTTATTACTGAGCCGTCTCCCCAGCCCCTTGCCTTGATCTTAAAACAAACACCAAAACAATTATCTTGACTCCACATTCCTGACAAACTGCTATGCAAAGAAACAAAGTCCTTGAAGAAACTGACTGTATTCTTTATGTCCTAGAACTTTCCTCCATTCTTTCAAATATAAAGTTATTTACAATGACTGACTTATTTATAAAACTCAATGAGCCACAGGCTCACATAGGCTGTTTCCTATGCAATGGGCATCTGAAGCTCTGGACTCATTAATGCTGATTGTATGTGAGTGAGATCAACTGATGCTTTGAGGGCCTGAACAGAAAAAGCAGGAAATGGAAGGAAGAATTCATCCTTTCTTTCTTGTGAGGCAACTTCTTGATCTGGAACATCTCATCTCATTCTATCTTCTGCCCTCAGGCTGGTTGGAATTTCCATCATCAGCTCTCCTGATTCTCTGCTTTTAGGCTTGGGTTGAATTATACCACTGGCTTTTGTAGGTCTCCAGATTGCAAATACCAGATGGTGGGACTATAGAAAAGCAAAACAAATATCATCTGCAAGGACTAGGGAGACAGCTTGGCAGTCTAAGCACTTGCCTGGCAAGTGCAGGGACCCATGTTCGATCTCCAGTACCAGACACTGTGCCAACCTCTGAACCTTGGGTGCACCATGTCACCCACCAAAACCCGGTGTAGTGGCACATGCCTGTAATCCCAGAACTGGGAAAGCTTAGACAAGAGGATCACTACAAGTCCCAGCTGTGTAGCGAGACCCTGTCCCAACTAAATACATATAAGATTTTAATTTTTTTTTTAAATCATCTGCAAGGCAAGAGTCATTACAATTCCAGACTTCTAGTTATACTACAAAATCACAGGTTTAGGAGCAGCATGGTGCTGGCACAAAGACAGATATATTGAAGAGAATGCAGTACAAGATTCAGAAACAACTTTAAGCACTTTCAACAAAAGATCTAAGTACGTACACTGTAGAAAAGATAAACTGTAACATGTGGGTACAGGAGAAACTGGTTATCCAAATGCAGAAGAACAACTCGTAATCCATACTTCTTACCTTGTATTAAAAATAAAATTGATCAAGACATACACAAAGTCCGAAATGTTGACTCTTCTAAAATAAGTAGGATTTTCTTATTTCTTTCTCAATCATTTTTGTTTTTGTTTTTGTTTTTGGTCCATAGAAATGTCATTGATTTTTATGTATTTATTTTATATCATGCCACTTTGTTGCATTTATTTATTACTTTTAAGAGTTATGTGAAGTTTTTTGGATCCACTCTGTAAAACTCCATAGTGAATCCGGTGTTACTGGGCCTCTTTTAGTGGCTAGTTTCTCCTCCTCCTCCTC